GTCTTTGTTCATGCTCTGCCTATGCTACAGAGTAGCCACAAAGCCCGGTCCTCAATACATGACCTCATGGACTCGAACCTGAAAACGGTGGTCCACCTAAAGCTGCAGATGACTGGGTGTTAGATTCTCTAACATCCACTGGGTGTAGGCCCAGGCCTACCTCAACCTCATCCTGTCCTGGTACCATGTCCAAAAAAGCAGTTCTTGTCATTCTACACTTTGCAGAGAGGGAAACTGAAGTTCAGTCTGACTAGATAGTACAAGCACGAACTAAGGTGGGTGAGCCGGGACCCTGGGAGTTCCTGAGGTGAGGTGGGGGTGGGAAAGGGAGGGGGCAGGAAGCTTGGCTCCTCTGCTCCTCTGGCTCCTTATGGCGTCAGAGGATGCCTCCTTCATGAAGCTTTCCCTGACCTTAGCCTAGGTCAGGACTCTAGACACAAGCTGACAGGAACTGTCCTCTCTGGGTAGTTCCCACTACTCAGGTCCATTCAACAGTGGACTAGACAGGAGGAAAGGCCCAGCTCTGAGGCCAGCTCCACCCTGGCTCACCCTGCTTGTGCTGCTCACTTTCATGCCATAGACGGTCCTTCTCTAGGCGCTGTGACCACCAGGGAGAACATTATGAAGGCGGAACCAGGGACCCGAGGACGATGGCGACACGCTTCTCCCAGGAACACCCATCTTTCAGTCTAGACCCAGCAGGGCACGGTGCCAGTGACTGAGAAGACAAAGTACCTTGAAAAGGCATCGGCTTTGGGTAAGTTATGAGACTGTCATTAAGCACTTTAACCTATCCGAGCCTCAGGTTCCCCAGCTGTACGTGGGGACCTAACAAGTCTCAGCCAGCTGGCTTTTCATACGTATTCGCCGTCGTCGTCGTATCCTTCACCCCACCTCCAACTCCTAGCCTCAGTTTCTCCATCGGTTAGCTGGGGACTTTGACAGCCTTGGAGATGACTTAAAGGCAGGATAGCCGAGATACGGGGGGAAGCCCCTCAGGGCCGTCTCAGGGCCAAAGAAGAGTCACTTCCTTCCGTGCTGGTGGTTGTCAGTCACCTCTGGGTGGCCCCCCGCCTTGGTGCGGTGGCGCCAGGATTTCCTCCGCGGGCCTGAGGCTCCCCGCACCCCAGACCTCGCCGGCCCACGGCTGCACGTGCGTCTGCCCCGGTCTAGCTTCCTTTGTGATCCTTCTCCCTCCGAGCGTTTTTCGGTTTCAAGCGCGGCCCTAGGCAGGGTCCAGGGATTCCAGAGCAGAGGTGATGCTCGGTTCCTAGGTCCGCGCAGCTGGCAGGACGGTGACTTTAGGACCCCGCGGCTCCGAGCCCCAGGGGGCGTGGCCGGACGGCGAGTGCTATTTAAAAGGCGGGCGCCGCCCCCTCGCGGCCGGCTGGAGCGGCGCTGATGCGGTCGGTCCTCGAGGGCCAGACCCCCGGGGTTGCGCGAACGATGCGCCGAGGAGTCGGGCGGTGGCGGCGGCGCTGAGCCAGGTAGGGGCCGCGAACGGTGGTGGTGCCTAGGGAGCTGGGACCGGACCCTCCCTCGGCACCGGGTCTTAGTGGATCTAACTAGGGAACGGCTCAGAAAGGCGTTCCCATTTGACAGCTGGGAAAATCGAGGCCGGAAGCTCCGGGCGTGCCTAGGAGCACACAGCCAAGCAAGCAGATCAGGATTTGACTTCAGATCTGCCCCAGACGGACATGGGCTTTCCACACTGTCACTCTTGTCTCTGGAGGGGATACCCAGCGCTCTGGGGAGACTTGAAGCCGACCTTCTTTTGGGTGATAGATAGGAGGGACCCCTACCCCACCTCCACCCTGACATTTCACATCACAAGCACATTCCTTTGGGTTAAGGTCTGATTCCCCTGAGATGTGGGATGTCTCTAGAACGGACTGCCCCTACCCTAGTGAGTGATTCACTGCCCTGCGAGCAGCTCTCCCAGGCCCCTTTGACAGTAGTCAGAGCAAACTGAGAGCTCTACCGCTCAGTGTACTCCTGGGCCTGGGCCTGTGGGCTCCTGAGCAACTTAGGAAGCAACTTGGCAGTTGCTTTGAAGACACGGGGGCTGACTTCTGATCCCGACTCTTCTATTTACTGTACAAGTGCCTTTGGGTAAGTCATTTCTCTGAACCTCGTGCTCTGGGAAGAGTTCTACAGGGTGCCAGTGGGGTCTGCACTAGTTGAGACCACACAGCACTAAGGTAGTATATAGATCTGTCTGAGTCCTAGTTCTAGCACACCTAGGGGCAGGGGATCAGGCACTTCACCTTCTCAAGCCTCAGTCTTCTGGTCTGTAAATGGGAATTATAGTAATCACCTCACTTGGTGGTTGGTGAGAGTTAAAAGACCTGCAATCAACCTAGGGCTTAGAAAAATTCGTAACCTCCTTGCATAGTAGGGGCAGTCTTATTTTTATTATAGAGTGCCCCCCATTATCTGTCTGTCCCCCTCTGTCACACACAGACACACACACAAGCACATACAGAGATATTCTTTGTCACCTCTCCAATCAGAAATCCAACCACCTGCCTGCAGAGCCAGGTCCTCTGTCCTCAGCACCGTTGGTACTGGAACCATCAGGGAAGGACATTGTAGGGTCCCAGTACTTTCCTGTCCACATGCCACCTGATCATCCCCATGGCTAAGGAGAGCCAGTGTTGGAATGGGAACTGGTGTGTCCTGCAGATGAGTCACCCAGGCAGGGAGAGATAAGAACTTGCCCTGGGGGTCATACTAGCCATTGGTGGGGCTTGACAGTGAACCCCTAGGTTCGAATGCCTCTGGTCTCCCCTGTGGGGCTGAGTTCTTAATGCCGCAGATGGGGCACAGCAGGGGGCTTCCTTCCGTCATAATTCTGTGGTTCAGTCCCTTCTGGATGTGCAGAAGTCCCATGCTGGGGTAGAACAGGACTTAGCAGAAGAAGGAGAGATAGGGTCCCTTTGGGCATCCCCACCTTAAACCCCCAGGTCCTGACTTGTCCTTACTGCAGCCGAACTTCTGATGTCATTCAGCGACTTGTTCCCTGAGAGAAATTTAGTGAGCCTATACTTAAGGAATGAAGCAAATGAGAAATGGGGGAGGGGGGATAGAATACCTAGGAGCCTGAGCAGGAACATTCTGGACCAGGAGGGAGCAGCAAAGCAGAGTCCCCAGGCAGCCTGGAAGGTACTGAGGTGACTGAGGAGTTTGCTGAGGGGAAGAAGGTGGTAGGTGGAGCTGATGGGAGAGTGGGTGAAGCCTATACACTACTGGAGGTTTCTAAGCCATCTGTAGGATCTGGCATGCGGTTTTGAAGTGTCACTGGCTGCCACGTATGGGACGGATTGTCCAGTACTGGAGGGAAGCAAGAGGCCAAACAGTGGAGTTGGCTGTTGCAGTGAAGGTGGGCAGCTTTGAACCTGGAGGGCTAGGGCAGGGAGGGGACAGGGGGACGGAGGGAGCTGGGAGACCTCTCCTCACCTGCATCCCACAGTGGAGGCTTGCCTGCTGCTGTGCCATCTGGCTTCCCTGTATCATGAGGTGGGTCCCCACGGGTACTTTCTTGTCAAGGGGTAGGGAATCATAGTGGGGTGTGCTCTGTGTCCCACACTGGGATGTCCAAAGGTCAGCAACTGTGAGACCCCGGAGAACACAGGCCTACCGTGGGGACCAGAAGACGCTTCTAGAGGACATGTCGTCTAAGCTCCACGGGGTGAGGAGATATTCAGCTGCAGGGGAGGCAGAGGAAGCACACTTATGTACACATGTTCAGGGCCGAGAGAGAGAGAGAGAGAGAGAGAGAGAGAGAGAGAGAGAGAGAGAGAGAGAGAGAGAGAGAGAGACAGGAGACAATGACAAGTCAGCTGGCTGCCCAGGGCCTGGGGATGAAGACCAGGGGTTTTCATTTCATTTAGCTCTGAGTATGCTGATGTTAAACAGGTGGGGACTGCATTTGAACAAAAAGAACAAAATTCCCTGTGAACTCATAGCCAGCAGTGAACGAGGAGCACTATGGGGCAGGGATGGGCTCTGGGGGAGACACGAAGGAGAGCTAAAAGGGCCACACTGGCCCCTGCGTGTCCCAGCAAGATGGGCAGCCACCGCATTGAGAGTCAAGCCCAGTGAGTTCTAACAGTCAAAAGAACCATCGCAGGCCTGCAGATCTCTCCCAAGGCCGTCTTCAGAGTGTAGAGGAAGGATGCAGAGTCTAAGTCTACCTTTTAGCTGTGTTGTCTTAGCTGTATTTCATAACCTCTCTGAGCCTTGGTGTTGTTTTGGTTCGGTTGCTTGTCTTTTCCCTTCTATAAAATGAGATGTGTAAGGAAACAGAACGGAGTCCTTGTGGGGATTAACTGAATACTAATCGTCAGGTTTGATGGTGAGGTAGATGCTGGGACCCTTTCATAGAATGTCTCAGTTATCCTCGACAAAACTGACACGGTTGGCATTTACAACAAAGTCAGAGAGATGAGGAGACCTGTGTAAGGTCACACAGCAGGTGCCTAGCAGAGATGAGAGGGAGCTGTCAGATGTGTCACCCCTGAGTGCTGTGGTCCCTCTTCGCAAGCCTGCTGTGGTGTCCAGGCTGTGATCTCTCTGGCCCACTGTCTCATCCCTGTTTCCCAGTGCAGAATTAGATGTGAGGTGACGTTCAGTATGGGAGTACGTGAATGTATCCATTCGTTAATTAAATGAACGGACTAATCTGTATTTCCCCAGCACATGGCTCAAGCCCACAGGGATTCACCCCTGCTAAGGGCCTCTGAGGTCCACATGGGCCCCAGCACTGACTGCTTACACTGCAGTGGGCCCATGGACCTGGGCAGCCATAGCCTTCAGTGAAAGTAGCCGGCTGGCAGCCTGCTGGGGTGGGGCTTCCTGTCAGTGCCCCGGCCAACCTTTAACAATGACAAGGTCTGAGAATTTCAACCAAAAGTAAAAGGTCAAAAGGAAGGATTTGTGAAGAATGAAACATCCCATCTAGGGCTAAGGACCTGGGATGGCGGCCTGCCTGGGAGGGAAACTGAATCAGAAGCTCACCTCCCTCCGGCCCTGCCCTAGGGTCCCTCTGTCTCCTGAGCACCCATCCTAATGTCATCTACCAGGGTGACCCTCTTTAAATTTTTTTTTATTACATTTCATTTATTTGAAGGGAGGGGTGCATGTGTGGAGGGAGTGGAAGTCCAGGAGCCAGTTTTCTCATTTCGACATGTGGATACCAGAATCAAACTCAGGCCTAATGGCAAGGGCCTTTACCCCTGAGCTGTTTCAATGGCCTCGGGTAGACCTTAGGTAAACGCAAAGCAGACAGTCATACTTTGCTTTAAAAGTCTTGCTTCCCCTGAGAAATGACTCAGCTTGCCTTCAAACTTGCAATCCCTGGCCTCCTACCTCAGCCTCTTAAGTTCCAGAATACCACTACCCTCAGCTCCCCCGAGGCCCTGCGTGAAGCCCACGTGGCTCTTGCTTTCAGTCTAGGATCCTTGAGGGAGGGCAAGTGGGTGCTGCTGGTGGAGGGGGAGCGTGGTCTCAACCTTCCTCTTTCCTCTCCACCCTAGGCAGAGCCATGAGCCACCAGATCCTGCTACTCCTGGCCATGCTGACCCTGGGCCTGGCTATCTCTCAGCGTCGAGACCAAGTGCCCTGTAGGACGGTAAGACACAGTGCAGGCAGAGTAAGGGGGACCTATCCCACCTTTGTCCTGAGGGAGGGGTCCCTCAGCCCAGTCCAGGAGTAAAGGTTAGAGGACCCAGAAAATGATAGCGCTTTGCCTCAGTATTTGTTGAGCATACACTAGGCTGTTGAGAAACCTGCTTACCCAACAATCCCATTTGTTCCCATTTTACAGAAGGGAAAGGTTGGAGAAGCTAGGTGACCTAACTGAGACCAGCCCTCTATTCCTCAAGCTGTCATGAGCAGTTGGTCTTCTGGGAAATCCTGGGGCTACACAAACTGGGAAAGACTCCGCTGTACTGACCATCTTCCTGTACATATCCCTCCTCCGGCTGGGCTCCTGGACTTGGTCTGCCTGCTAGAATGCTCCTTTCATTACAGCCAGATCACATGCCACCTTGCCCAGGAAGCCTCCCCACCATTGACAAGCTGATTCCTTCTGTTGACCCCTCCTCTAGCTCCATGTCCTCTGCCCATCTCCATGCTGAGCAGACTGAGGATATGTGTTGTTTCATGCATAGTCCAAGACTGTCTTGCCTGGTTGACCAAGAGCTCCTAGGTGACAGGAACCATGCAGGCAGATGCTGAAGACATTGTGACCCTGTGAGGTATATGGAAAAGACCCTTTAGGTTAGTGGTTCTCCACCTGTGTGTGGGTCGTGACCCCCACGGGGGTTTATATCAGATATCCTGCATATCAGATACTTATATTGAACTTCATAACAGTGGCAAAATTATAGTTACGCAGTAACAGCTAAAAAACTTTATGGTTGAGGGTCACCACAACATGAGGAACTGTATTAAGGGGTCACAGTATTAGGAAGGTTGAGGACCACTGCTCTAGGTATACCTGTGAAGCAGGGCAGGCCCACCAGCTGCACTAGGGCACAGAATGGATAGCTGTGCAGAGGCGAGCAATGCCAGCAGCCCTTTCCTGGGGTCTGTGTGCCCTGCTGTGCCCACTAATTCTTGGAGACCTCCTGAGAGTTTCACAACCCAGAGAGCAAAGACCTCAGATATCACCATATGCCCACAGCCTTGGAGGACTGAGGCCCTAGATGACTCTGGCACCCACAGAGGGCATGGGGCAGGAGAAGCATGAGATAGAAGACTTTCTGAACTATCAAAAAGAGTTGTATACCCAGCTGCTGAAGAGACATGTGACCCTGTGGACCCTGACGGTAGAAGTGACAGAGACAGAATTCAAACCCAGCTCCCCCTGTATATGGATGGGAAGTGAAGTTGGATAGCATGTCCTTTCCCCCTCAGGAAGAAAGCAGAACAGGAGCTGACACGGGAGGATGCTAAACCCCAGCCAAGGCCCCTAGCATCTCTGCACCAGAGACTCCTGGCAGTCAGTCAGAGCTCAGAAATAAGGGCAGGGAGGGTACTAAGATGGTCCAGTCCTTCAGGCTCCTTCTGAAGTCTGGACTGGATCAAAGAGGTGGGTACCAGGTGCTCTCCTGGACCTCAGCAGTACCTGATAGATGGTCTCAGGTTACGGCAGAGCCTGTCATGGTTCCTTTGGAACTGGTGTCCATGGGGCCTCTTCTTATCCAGAAGGGAGAGGACATGGGTGTGGGCCACCTGGGGAAGTGTGGCATGCACACTGCAAATGCAGAGTAAATAGTATCTGGTAGTGTCTCTCCAGCCAGCCTGGGTACCTAGGTAGCTGACGGCTCAGTTAATACAAAAAGAAACTCACGCTAGCATTGAGTTCATCTTACTGCTGCTTACAGCAGGGTGGTCCTGAGAGCTAAGTGCCAAGTAGGTGTCTAGTTTCTGTGGGTGGCAGTGAAGGGTGTTAATGGGTCTCCTAGAGCCTCAGTTGGCAGCTTTTCCTGGAGGTATAAGGCTAGTCAAGTTTTTTTATGCAGCAGTCATTCACACAGGTGCCTATGGCCAGATGGTGCCCTGCCTCACTCCATTCACCTTGGGGTCCTCGGGGAAGCCTCAGAGCTAGGTCAGGCAGGGATGCCAGGCTTGTGTTTCTTCCTTGCTACCTCAGCCACTGAACCTCTGTGACGCAGGCAAGTTACTGCCAGGGCGGGCCTTGACCTCAGCATCTGGACAGCAGGTGGGCTGGCTCACTCAGCTCTAATGTCTCCTTCTGGCTTTAATATGAATATCTGGATTAGCTCTTTTCTTTCCGGCATTGATTGGATAGAGGCCCTTTACTTAAGCACAGATGTCTGCAACTCATTCATAAAAGACATTTCCTGAGGACTTTCTTTGGGCCAGGTCCAAGATATCCATGTCAATCAAAGTGGCCCCTCTCCAGGCAAAGCTCACTGTCTGCAGGTCCCCATTCAGTCGTTGTTCAGAGGCACCAAGCCGTAGGGAGAAGGCACATTTAGAGAGGTCCTCCATGGAAGACATGTTGGGATTCCTCACGAACAATTCTCATACAGATATGATCCATGCATGTCTGGAGATGGTTGCACAAGAGTGTGGGTCCAGTGCTAGGCATGGTCACTGCATGTAAACTGGATTGGGGTGAGTGGACAGGTTGGCCAGTGCCAAAGACAGTCTTGATGGACTCTTCTCTATGTTTAGGCCAAGGGTACCATAGGCAAAGTGGGGGTTTGAGCAGTCTATGGGCCTTTAGCAGATGGGTAGTTCAGCAGGGTTGATGGAGACAGGTGAGGTGCAGGAGCAAAACTAAGCTGGCTGTTGTAGACGTTACACTCTTTGCTAGGGAGAATGGGGGTACCTGGGGAAATAATCTGGGAGCCACCAGATGGAGATGTGCCTCTGCATAGAATTATAACCCTTAAAGGCACATTTTGTGGAAGGAAAAGAGTTGCTAAGAGCCCCACGTTCAAATCCAAGCTCCCTCCTTATCAGCTGGGTGATCCTGAAGTCTCTCTTACCCTGTCCAACCTGGACTTTGGTAAAAATATGTAATTACATCAGATTGCCCCTGTACCTGGGTGGGCTGTTGTGAGGCCCTGACAGAGTCACCAATCCGAAAGTGTTGATGTGTAAAGTAGGTGCTGGGAAGGACAAGTTAAATTTGGGATAAGGAATGGAGGGTCCCTGTCGATGTGTCCCATTAATGATCATTCCATTAAACTGTCATCAGATAGCCCCTGTTGGGTTCTGGCATCCCTTTATCCTGCTCAGTCTCCTTACTCCTACTACCTTTGGGGTGCTATGCTGGACCAGACCACCAGAAGTGGGGCCACTGATATGGGGGTAGACAGCAGCTGCAGAAAGGATCAAGTCCAGAGCCCACCCCAAATCACAGGAGGAATTTGAGTGAGTGTGTGAGTGTGCTGTGTGAGTGTGCTGGCTGGACCAAATCAAAGGGGCTGGCAGGAAAGCCTGTGGGTTTCCCTGTTGCAGACATCTTTCCTGATGACGCTTCCAGCCTAAAGCTGAGACTTTATATCCAGAATGTGGTAAGGACCCAGGTGTGGGACTAGAAGCTATGGCCCATCTTGGCCATGTTGCTCCTTGTTTCTGTATCATTGTGAGTGAAACGTGGCTCAGTTTCCCACAAAACAGGACAACAGTCAACACATACGCATTCTTAGATCTGTCTACTATTTCTGTCTACTACTCCCTTCTGCCCAGCACCGGGCAGACTGCCATTCAGGGCCAGAGAGCAGCATGGGGGCATCAGCTGGGTGGAGCAAAGCTAACATCTTGGGTATCTGGGAAAAGCACCCCAAGCTTGTGGAGAGGGTGAGTCATCTTTCCTACAGAGCCCTGTCCCCATCGATGCCAGCTTCTTTGCCACGCTTGCTCTCCCTAGGTGAACAAGGAGGCCTTGTGCCACGGTCTTGGCCTGCTTCAGGTCCCCTCGGTGCTCTCGTTGGACATCCAAGCTCTCTACTTGTCCGGGAACCAGCTGCAGAGCATCCTGGCCTCCCCGCTGGGCTTCTATACAGCACTCCGTCACCTGGATTTAAGTGACAACGAGATTAGCTTCCTTCAGCCTGGGGTCTTCCAGGCCCTGCCCTACCTGGAGCACCTCAACCTGGCCCACAACCGGCTTGCCATGGGCATGGCACTGAACAGTGGTAGTCTGGGCCGCCTGCCCCTCGTGGTCTCCCTAGACCTGTCTGGGAACAGCCTGTATGGCAGTCTGGTGGAGCGGCTGTTGGGTGAGGCCCCGAGGCTTCGCACACTCTCACTGGCAGAGAACAGCCTCACGCGCCTTGCACGCCACACCTTCTGGGGCATGCCAGCAGTGGAGCAACTGGACCTCCACAGCAATGTTCTCATGGACATCGAGGATGGTGCCTTTGAAGCCCTGCCCCACCTGACCCACCTCAACCTCTCCAGGAACTCCCTCACGTGCATCTCAGACTTCAGCCTCCAGCAGCTGCAGGTACTTGACCTGAGCTGCAACAGCATTGAGGCCTTCCAGACTGCCCCGGAACCACAGGCCCAGTTCCAGCTGGCCTGGCTTGACCTACGGGAGAATAAACTGCTCCACTTCCCTGACCTGGCTGTGTTCCCGAGACTCATCTACCTGAATGTGTCTAACAACCTCATCCAGCTCCCTGCGGGGCTGCCCCAGGGCAGTGAGGACCTCCATGCACCCTCTGAAGGCTGGTCAGCCTCTCCACTGTCCAACCCCAGCCGGAATGCCAGCACCCACCCCCTCTCCCAGCTCCTGAACCTGGATCTGAGTTACAATGAAATTGAACGGGTCCCTGCTAGCTTCCTTGAGCATCTGACCTCGCTACGCTTCCTCAACCTCAGCAGAAACTGCCTGCGATCCTTTGAGGCTCTGCGAGTGGGTTCCCTGCCTTGCCTGATGCTTTTGGACTTGAGCCACAATGTGCTAGAAGCATTAGAACTGGGTACCAAAGTCCTGGGGTCCCTGAAGACATTGCTTCTGCAGGACAATGCCTTGGGAGAACTTCCACCCTACACCTTTGCCAGCCTGGCCAGCCTGCAGAGGCTCGACCTACAGGGAAACCAGGTCAGTCCCTGTGGGGGACGAGCAGAGCCCGGTCCCCTGGGCTGTGTGGACTTCTCTGGGATTCCCACCCTTCATGTTCTTAACATGGCAGGGAACTCGATAGAAAGGCTCAGGGCAGGCAGCTTTCTCCACACCCCACTTACTGAGCTGGACCTCTCTGCCAATCCTGGTTTGGATGTGGCCACGGGAGCCTTGGTGGGCCTGGAGGCATCCTTAGAGGTGCTGGAGCTTCAAGGCAACGGACTGATTGTCTTGAGAGTGGACTTGCCCTGCTTTCGTCGTCTCAAGCACCTTAACCTTGCTGAGAACCGGCTAAGCCACCTGCCTGCTTGGACACGGGCTGTGTCCCTGGAGGTGCTGGATCTGCGGAACAACAGCTTCAGCCTCTTGCCAGGCAATGCCATGGGTGGCCTGGAGACCAGTCTCAGGCGGCTGTACTTGCAGGGTAATCCACTCAGCTGCTGCGGCAATGGCTGGCTGGCGGCCCAGTTGCACCAGGGGCGAGTGGATGTGGATGCTACTCAGGACCTAATCTGTCGCTTTGGCTCCCAGGAGGAGGTGTCCCTGAGCCTAGTGCGTCCAGAGGATTGTGAGAAGGGAGGGCTGAAGAATGTCAACCTCGTCATCATCCTCAGCTTCACACTGGTCTCCGCCATAGCCCTCACCACACTGGCCACCTGCTGCTTCCTCCGCAGGCAGAAGCTCAGCCAGCAATACAAAGCCTGACCTCTTCCCGCTCACTGCTCACCATGGAAGCCAGAGGGGCGGAGAAGTTGGGGTCCAGCTCAGGTTACACAGTGGCCAGGGACTTGGTGTCCCATTTTACTGCCACATGGGCAGGTTCCTTTCCTGGCTGCATATGTGGTCCAGCTGTGGAGCTCAAAGTGGGGCGGTTTGCTGAACAGAGGATGCCAACAGTTCTCCACTGAGCATTTGTTTGAGGCCACACCCATCTCTGTCTCTGGGTACTAGTGAATGATACATGTGCCTTTCCTCTGGCAAGATTGGCTGTCACAGAGCCACACAGTGACCATGTAGTATGATGGGCTTGAGGTGGGGAAGCAATGGGCCCCCAGATGCTGCAGTCCGCAGCTGGTGATGGAGAACCCACCCTGACTGTCTGTGTTAGAGCAAGAGAGTGGCAAACCCGTGAGGATTTGTCAGAGTCCTTTCCACCCAGAGCTCTGTCGCATCTGCTGATAATGACTTTCAGCCTCTCTGGAAATGAAGAACTTGTGACCTGAAGAGAGAGTCAGAACCTCCCCCAGAGGTCTTAAATCTAGGCTCCTAGGCTAGATTGTGGAGCTCCAGCTGAACCAGCTTAAGATCTGGTCACCTAGGCTGCCATGCAGGCCCGGTCCATCTCGTGTCCTGCCTTGGACAGGCCTTTCTCTCCAGTGCACTCTTCTGTCACACACACTGACCCTGGTGCTACCTGTTTCCAAACCCCTGCTCAGGCCTCCTTCAGTCCCAGCTCCACCCTGGCTTTTGAGCCAAGAGGGAGAGCCTCAGCTATCTGGTTCTGCTTTGCACTTAGCAGCTGCAGAGGTGAATTCAAGCCAACTCTCAGAGGTTTCTATGTTATCTGGGTTATACACAAGAAGAAAACAAGGTTCCTTATGTGTCTCCTTTGAGAGCCTCATGGCTGAGAGAGATGCCGAAGCCAAAAATGAGTCAAGTCCATGTCCTCCCATCTCTGGGGCAGAGGCCTTGCCAGGGCGGGGCCTGCAGGCTGTCAAGTGGACAGGAAGTGGACCTGCCCTAACCAGGATCCAAGCATACATGCTGCATATACGCACTCCCGCTGAGACAGGCACCCACAGACCCTCTGCTTCCCTGCCTCAGTGTCCCTCAGTGCAGAGGTGTATGAATTCTTCCTTTCTCTACTTGCTCCCAAACTCTCATTCCTGGAGTTTGAAACCATTGGGTGTCATCTCCCCACTGAACAAATAGGGAAATTAGGTGCAGGGCCTTGCTCAGAATCATACAAGCCTATAGTAGAAGCTGTGGGGAGAAAAGCAGCTGGACCCTTGTGCAGCAGTAGAGCGTTTGCTTTGTATGCTCAAGGCCCTGAGCTAGCTGCCCAGCAGCTGTACCTGTGGTCCCTATGCTCAGCAGTCACAGCACGGGATGAGGCCAGCTATCATGCCAACCCTCACCAGGCATGGAAAATAAGAAGACACACCCCACCCCACCCCCACTCACCACTCATTCCCCAGACCCATGGGTTGCAGGGAGGAAAGAGCGCCCTGGGCCCAGTCACAGAGCTTCCTCAGCACTCCTGTGCTTGGCCCACAGTCTGCCAGAGCATCTGTATAAGGAGGTGAAAACACCATTCTCTCTGCCTCACTCTACAGGTGAGGGACTGAGGCCCAGAGAAGGTTAAAGGCTTGGAGGACCGATGGACAGATCCAGGGCTAGGACTCTCACTGGGGCAGCTCGAGGGGCCTAGGTGCTGCTGCACACGGCACTCCTCCTCGGCCTGGAGGCTGACACTGCTGCACACGGCACTCCTCCTCGGCCTGGAGGCTGACACATAGCTCCTGTGCCCGAGCTCTGAAAACACTACATCGATGCTGCTCCCACCTCCCAGGACTGGCCTCTCCTAGGCCCTGGGACCTGCCCTTTGTATAACTCACATGAATGTATTAAAGTATACTTTTGGAGAAACTGTGGCCTGCCAGCTTGCTTACTTCGGGTACCCTGTACCCGCGCGTTTGAATCCTGACCCTTTCCTGACCCTTTCTTCTTCCCTCGGGGGGTTTTATTCCTTGTGAGGCATCTGAGAGGACACTCACTAAAGCTCTTGGCCTGCCCCACCCAGGTCAGCCTCCATTGTGGTCGATCCACACCTATGCCCTACCCCAACTCTAGAAAGTAGTGACTGTGGCCCCTCCCCACCTGTCTGTGCAATGTGTCCACTGCCTTCTCTGTACTCACCCTCCCCGTCTTAAAACCAGCGAAAGACCCCTGTATCACTTTCCCATCTCACCGTCCCTCACTCTGTGGCAGGTCCCCTCCCTCCTCTCCTCAGCCTACCCTGCCCTGTCTTAGCTGAGGTCTCCTCACAAGATCTCCATACCTTTAGACCTTTGTCCCTGGACTCCACGGCCCCTCACCTCACCCTCAGCCTCCCTAACTCCGTTCAGGAAACTGTCCCCTCCCTCTCAAGCTACATATTCCCCAGCCTCTCCACGTGCTCCCCTTTCTCCAGCCACCTCCAAATGATGGATGGATGTCATCTGTCCCTCCTGACTGCTTCTATGGAGACATCGACCCCCCCCCCCCACTCTCCAGCCAGAGAGTTACATGTCATGTCTCCTTGGGGCTAGAGAATCCAGGAAGAATTTAGCCTGCAAGCAGTCAACTGGGGAGAGGGAGGGAGGATGGAGAGAGGGAGAAGGAGAGTTGAGGGAGAGGGAGAGTTGAGGGAGAGCTGTTGCCTCACTGAGGGCAGGCATGGAGGAGGTTGTGGGGTCTCAGTGAGAGCACATCAGCTCAGCAGGCCACACCTAGGCACTTGCCTTCTGCAGGTGCTAGTCCTCCACCTCAGCCTGCTTTTCCAGCAGCCTTCCCTGGCCTCCAAGCACTCTGGACACATCTCCACATCTGGAGTGGCCCCGGGCCCTCCCTGGATGGACAGCCTTGCCTTCTAAAGATCCCTTCATTTCTCTCTGCCTTCAGCCTCTCACCTCAGTCCTACTCCTGGCTCTCTTCCTCCTCACTTTGGTTTCACAGGGCAGAGCTAGGGATGGGAGAGGACATAGTAGGGACTCAGTGAGGGCAGAGTTGGACCAGGCCATCGAATAGGCTGGGCTCAGCCCAGGCCCTGGGAGTCTCTCAACAGGGCCCTGACCTCCTTTCCTGGCAAACAGCAGAGCCTATTCACCTGCCCTAAACCCCCCAGTGAGACAGAAATTCCTGTTTTCAGGGAAACATGGGCACAGCTGCCAACTAGGTCATGAGAGCATCGGGTTTACTAAGCTTTCAGCCAGTTGCAGGGAGAGGGAGGCCCTCATGTGCTCTGTCTGTCAGAGGCCACCTGGAGTGTCATCTGCAACTCATCCAGTTCAGTAGGCTCTTGTGGTGCCCCTCTCCTCCATGGGCCCTGTGCCCCACCCCCTTCAGCTGCCTCACCATCTCAGTCCTCCTGATCCAGGGCCGGGGCAGTCCTCCTGATCCAGGGGCCGGGGTCAGTTGCCCCCCGCAAACAGCCCTGTCCTCCAGACAGCCTGCAGGACCTTGGGAGGTAGATACCTGCTGCCCCCAGCCCCTTTCTGCTGTGGCCCACCATGTAGTGACCACTACTAAGTGTATCCAGCTAAGTCCACGCTGAGTAGTTGATGGGACCTTATCCCTGCAGTGTTTGCAGAGATTTGTATTGTATCTTGAGATTCTAGAGCTGGGACCTAAACCCAGGCTATCTCCACTCTGAAGCCAGTGATTATTGTTTTTCTTATTGGTTTTTGTCATGGTTGCTGTTTTGTTTTTATTATGTTTTATTTGCACCTGTGCACGTGTGCATGGAGGTCAGAGTACAACTTGTGGGAATCGGTTCTCTCCTGCCATTGTAAACATAGAGGTTTGAAATCAGATTGTCAAGCTTGGCAGCAAATGCTTTCACTCACTGAGCCTTCTTGCCTGCTTCGTTCTTTGTTTTTTGACTCAGGGCATCTTGTGGTCCAGGTTGGCCTTGAACAGATGACCTTCAGCTCCTGTCTCCTCTTTCCAAGTCCTGGGATGACAGGCATGTACCACCATGCCTGTACTGAGCAGTATGGCAGCTGAGCATCTGACCCTCAACCCCAGGCTCTCCCTTCCTCCACCAGGAATGTCCCACACACCCCAACTCACCCACAAACCTCCTGCTACCATTGTCTGAATGGACTGCCTCTTCTGAGGAGCCTGGATTCCTCCTGCTGTGTGTATCCCTGTGGAACCCTCATACCTAGCACCAAGCATCTGTCTGGTCCACCATCAGATTGAGAGCCCTGGGAGGAAACATTCCTACCCAGAGTCCTCTGTGTGTCTCTAGGGACTGTGAGCTCAGAAAAGATTTCCAGAATTAATGGACCCTGCCCTCTAGGACTTAGGAACTCTTGGGCTTCTGACTAGTCTTCAGACAGACCCAGGGAATCCAGAGAAGGCAGAGGACAGCAGGATGTGGGCTGTCCAGAGCACATAAGTGTGCCTCTGCTGTCCTGTCTCCCCTTGCCTTGAGGACTCTGTCTTATCTGTGACCTTCCATTCTCTGCACTCCCCATCTTCTCATCCTGTCTCCCCCCACCACTAGCACCTCTAGCTCCCTAGAAACAGTTGAGCTGAGAACAGGAGGGCCAGGGGGAAGGAGGGAGGCCTGAGCTGTTTATAGGATCTGGAGTGGCTCCATCCATCAGCTCTGTTTGGAACACAGACCAAGCATAATAAACAGTGTGGCTCGTCCCCAGCTGCGCTTTCCCTGAACTCAACCTCTCTCCACAGCTGGTTCTCAGGACCCAGCTCCACACCACTCCCACCTCCAGCCTCCCATCAGGCTGGCCTGGAGAGAACTCTGTCTGTGAAATCAAACTCAGATCCGGGGCCATTCTTGCTCTTGGGGCCACCTTTGCTCTGGAAGTGAGGGCAAACTGCCCTGTTGTGTCTCTACGTCTCCATCTGTATAATGGGCTCTCTCATAAAAATGCTTATTTGTAATGTGTGAGTGCTTGAACATTCTCGAGGCCCTGGGTGCTGGGTCTGTGGGAAACCTGGGCACAGTTAAGTAAAGCCTGTGCTGTGGGAGCAGAGGAGACTCAGGCCGTGGCACAATTCAGGAAGCTGTCAGTGGTGAGGGAGGTTTTATGCTCTGAGAGTTTGTTTGCAGCTAGGCACAGGCCTCACAGCTGGAGCAGTGAGGGGCTTGGAAGGCCTCTGAGCTGCTTACGGGGACAGCAGGGTGTCAGCTTGAAGCAGAGAGGTCCAAGGGAGAGCCCCAGCTGGCTGCAGGAGAGCCAGAGTGTTGTGGGGTTTCATCCCTGAGCTCTCTGGTCTTGGGGCACTCAACATTCTGGAATCTTCTCTCAGGAGGAGAGCTTCCAACTCGCCCAGCTCCAACTTTCCAAGTTGTGGATGCTGTCCCAGGATTCGGTCATGTGTCCGCCCCGCCTTCCCAAAGACACGCTACAAAGTAGACAACTCAGTGAAACCTACTGAGCAGCAGCAGCGCCTGCTTTGGAATGAGTTAGGGAATAGATGGGGGGGGTGAAGAAAAGTGTGGATCAAAGAGAAGAAGACAGCTGAACAGATCGTTGATGGCTGGAGCCGTGAGGACTCCTGGGCCGGCTCTTTAAGAAAAGATAATCTCAATCTCTCCCCCTCTCCCTCCCCCTTCCCTCCCCCCCATC